CCACACCCACACCCTAAAAATATGTGCACATTTGTCAACTCAGATATCATCAACGATTTTTTATTGTGAGAATAAAATCAAAACAACATAGATTCGAAATAAATGGGTTTTATTAATATAATAAATCCAGAAATCGATCGGCAATTATTCTTACATGTTATTCAGTTTATCTAAGAATACTATCTATAACTTGTAAATTATTGACGTTAAAATTTAATTCGTTCTACTACAATTTCAATTCGATTTCAATTTTTTTAAAATACTTATTTGCAAAATGAATTACTTTTTAGATATTTGAGATGTATTCAGTATAAAGCACGATCTATCGGCATAAAAGGATAGGTGTTGATAGGCATTTATGAAAATACCCAAAATAAACCGAACGATCAACTGTTACAAATACGGAAAAACCTGAACAGTTTCATATCTTTATGTCGTATTCAAAAGCGGCAAAATATATGAATGATAAATTCAAACCATTTTGATTTAATGAGATTTGTTAAAGAGATTAAAATATTAAATCACGTATTTAAACTCGTTATTCGTTTAGATTTTCATTGATTTTTTAGTTGTTATTGTCTAAACTTCTGTGAAATGCTGCGTAAAAAAACGTCAGATAATAGAATGCGCGAACTAACTTATAAATTGGACTACAAGAATTGTCATCATATTTTCCACTACACTGAAAAAAAAATCGGTAGAATGATAAAAGTTTTAAGCGTTTATCAAGTTGCAACGAATAAAATACCCTTTTCTACCGTTTATCAAATAGTGCTGAATCCTTTTATCTACCCCGAAAAATAGTGAAAAAACAGGGTTTATCAATTGTAAATACCTGTATAAAACGGTTTATCAGAAGGTTTATATGAGTGTAAAACGGAAAAAGGGTATGTTATTCGTTGCAAATTGATAAACCCTTTAAAATGGTATATGAAATTAAAAAACCAATTAATTTCAATGCAAACTTTCGTTTATCAACGGGTATATAATCAGAAAATACCTTTCATGGAGCTAAAAGAAAGCATAGATCAGCTTCATCAACTGGTAACGGGTTCATCAAAAGGTAGTTCAAACGGTTGATGAGTTTTACCAACCTCTAACTGATAGATCAAAAGGTAGTTCAGATGGTTAATAAGTTTCATCAACTAGTGATGGATTTATCAAAAGGTACTTCAGAGAGTTGATCCATTCCATCAACTAGTAATGCGTTTGTCAAAAAGTAGTTCATTTGGTTGATCAGTTCCATCAACTAACAATGGGTTCATTAGAAGGTAGTTCAAACGGTTGATAAGTTCCATCAATCTGAAAAGGATTCTTTAAATGGCATTTCAGATGGTTGATCAGTTCCATGAACCAGGAATAGGTTCTTCATATGGTATTGTTGATGGTTGATCAGATCCATCAATCTAAAAAGGGTTTTTCAAATGATAGCGCAAAGGGTTGATCAGTTTCAACAATCTGAAAAGGATTCTTTAAATGGCACTGCAGATGGTTGATCAGTTACATGTACCAGGAATGGGTTTTTCAGATGGTATTGCAGATCGTTGATCGGATCCATCTATCTGAGAAGGGTTCTTCATATGGTATTGCAGATCGTTGATCGGATCCATCTATCTGAGAAGGGTTCTTCATATGGTATTGCAGATCGTTGATCAGTTCCAAGAATCTAGAAAAGAGTTTTTCAAAAGACAGTTTGAAGGAATTATCAGTTTGATTAACTAATAAGAGTTTATAAAACGTAATTTCGATATAGAAGAGAGCGTAATGCTTTGTGTAATTATTGAAAACTGTTTGTCCTATCGTGGAATTCACCTCAAGAGGAAAATAGAATAAAGAAAAGAGTAAAGTGAAGTTTAGAAAGTGGACAGTCAAAAGGGACGCGTCAAATCAGTAAGAAAAACCTTGCGTAGAAATAATATCATCTAAGTTTGGCTGTTATGAATATAGTTGAACCGCGTGTACTTGCAGAAACTGAAGATAAATATTTTATAGACTATTTGAAAAATTTACTCTAGAAACTATAAAAGGGATGAGTATGTTATGAGTTAACGATATAATCTCAAGAATTCACATAGAATCTCTGAATATTCGGAAACCAGTTATGGAAATAGTTAGAAGAATAGATTAAAAACCTATTAGAATAGTTCTTTCATTATTTCGTTTTAATCAGATTTATTCGCTTGCAAAGAAATTTCATTTAAGTTAATTTTTCCTATCTATTTTAAACGATTATTAAAAACATTTCTATTCCTTACGGTTTTAAGCTGTCCTCCTAACTTTTTACAAGAATAAGTTAGTAAAAAAAACATAATTATATAATTATCAACAATCTTCTTGCGATGAATTCATATATTAAAATAAAACTTAGATAAAGGGGTAACTTCCAAAGAAATTTTATTAAATCGCTCACCTCTTATTGTCTTTTGTACCAATTTACAGCTACATACAGAAAAAGACCATTGTGGAAGTATTACTTAGTGATTTATCTTGTATTATTTGTTGAATAAGATCTAAATAAAAAAAAAACATCACATATAATTTCATTGCTACTCGTTACAATAATCTTTATTTTATATTCCACTTGTACATATAAAAAAAGACAGATACACTTTATTCTGGTCCAGTCGTTTGCCTTTGATTTGTGTTTGAATTGAGTTCAAATATAACCAACTTATTTACCATTCATCTGTCGTTGAAAATAACTAAAAAACAAAAGAAAATATATTTCGTTGTTATTAAATTGTTTACTATCAATTTATCGCTGACAATAGCTAAAAGAAGAAATGAAAACATTTTTAATTTCTATTAAATTGTTTACCATTCATCTGTCGTTGACCATAACTGAAAAAAAAATATAAAAACACATTTAGTTGTTATTAAATTGCTTACGTTGACTTGTGGTTGACAAAAGCTAAAAATAAAGAAATGAAAACATGTTTAATTGTTATCAAATTGATTACCATTCATCTGTCGTTAACCATAACTAAAAAGAACAAATGAAAACATATTTAATTTCTATTAAACCAGTTTACCATCAATTTATCGTTGCCATAACTAAAAAAAAGAAATGAAAGTACATTTAATTCTTATTAAATTGTTTACCATTTATCTGTTGCTGACAATAACTAAAAATAAAGAAATGAAAATATATTTGATTGTTATTAATATGTTTACCATCAATTTATCGTTGACCAAAATCTAAAACGAAGAAATGAAAACATCGCTAATTTCTATTAAATTGTTTACCATTCATCTGTCATTGACAACAACTAGAAAAGAAATTAAAATACATATAATTGTTATTAAACTGCTTACCATTGATTTGTCTTTAAGAATAGCTGAAGAAAGAAATCAAAGTACATTTGATTCGTTAAATTGTTTACCAGTTATCTGTCCTTGGCAATAACTAAAAAAGAAAGGAAAACATATATAGTTATTGTTAAATTGTTTACCATTTCTCTGTCGTTGACAGTAACTAAAAATAAAAAAGTGAAAACATACTTGATTGTTATTAAAATGTTCACCATCAATTTATCGTTGACAATAACTATGAACAAAGAAATGAAAACATATTTAAATGTTATTACATTATTTACCGTTGAGCTGTCGTTGACCATAATTGAAAAGAACAAATGAAAACATATTTCATTATTATTAAATTGGTCACCATTGATTTACCTCATTATATAATTTAAAATAAACCTAGAATGGGTTACGTTGTTATTATTAAATCAGTTTTATTTGATTGCTCTTGAGATGAGACCTATAAAAGAAATCAAAAGATCTAATAAATCTTATAAAATAACTTATCTTGTATACGTGTTAGAATTTGATCCAAACAAAGAAAAAGTGATAGATCATTTTATTGAATGAATCACCTATCGTGTGATGTTGAGTTGAAACTTAATAAAGAAAGTGAATAAAACCGTTAGTCAGTTTATCATTAAATCATTAACTTTTTATTTACTTTCGAAATATATCTAAATTAAAAAAGAAGTATTGTTTTATTATCAGTGAATTACTTATCTTCGATTAATAGTGTAAGCAAATGTAGATAAAGGAGTAAACGCAGAATTTGGTTATCATGGACTGAAGTATATTTGAATTGTTCTTGAATGAGGTTGAAAGATAGAGAAGGAAATAGAAGTAGAAAGGAGAGAAAAAAAGTCATTGGATACTAATAATTGGATACTTTAGATAAATATATATAATTGATGGAACAAAAAAGAAATGATAAAAAGTAGCATGAAACTTATCAATTCAGCAGATATATGAAATTTAAAGAGTAATTGAAGAAAGGAAGATAAAGATAAATTTAAATATAATGTATTCTTTGTTAGTGAATACATACCTCTGATTAGAGTGAGATAATAATCGTAAGACATTCAGTCTCAAAGAAGTACATCAATCTTGTTTAGGTAACGAAAAATGCACCGCAAATTTTTAAGAAGAATAAAAAATAAAATGCTATGACATTAGTATTAATCACGTAGTATATTGTTGTTAGAACTGTGAACAATAAACTGAATTGGTAATTGAAAGAAGTACTGGAAAGATAAATCAATATCATGTTGAATATATCGATGAAAGGAATATAAAGATTAAGTTGAGAATTAAAGTGAACGAAATCGAGATATTTATCGAAATCTATTTTTTTTTAATGGACGATCTAGGTTGAAAAGGTGACGTATTGAATTGAAAAAGAATAAGAAAAATATAATAAGAAATTTTTTTTTGCTTTCAATGTTTTTGTGGATCGTTAAGATGATTATCATCTGTTAAATTTTTTGAGAAAAGTTAGACTTTATTTAGTAGAGTTAAATATAATTAGACTCAATCATGTTTTATATTAAAAGAAAAAATAATCGATAGAGATGGAGAAAGAGAAAATATCATATTTCGAACAGTTTTGTTTGAGAAAATAAAAAAGAAATTTCGAGATGATTTATATAAATATTGTGATACATTATGATCTTCGTTGACGTTTTGGTCTTGAATTAAAACTTGAATTTGTAAGATCATTTAATGGAGTAAAATTTGTAGTTGCAATTTGATCATCAGTTGTGTTAACAATATTTGAACCTGTGGAATTTTGATAATCCGAAGCTGAATTCTTTCTTTGTCGTTTACGTTGTTTCACTTGTGGTTGTGATTTTGAATGTGATGATGATATTTTTTCGGGGATATTGATATTTCTATACGGAATAATGTTGTGAATATTACGAAATAAATATATCAGAATAATATATCTTACTCATTTATATCTAAAGATGCATTTGAATTTGTATCAGGATTATCATTTGTTGATGTTGTATCGGTTAATTGATTCATAATGAGACAATTATCTTGGACTGAGAGATCACCAGGTGAATGTATTTCAAATTGTATATGTGATTGAGATTCACTTTCAGGTATTGTTGAAGAAGTTGATGAAGAATTTGACATGGTTTGATGCTGTTGTTGTTGGTATTGTTGTTCAGCATAAACATCAATATTTTTTTCTTTTATTAATATTCGAACAGAATTTGTTAAATATCTTGTTTCAGCATGTAGAATTGCATAAAGAAGTCGAATAGTTCGACTTTTTTTATCGAATGCCAATTCAAATATTGTGTACATGGCTATTAATAATGCAACAGCATCGTCTGCTGAATTAGTTGACACAATAGAGTTAAAATCTACATAAATATGAATTATATCGTTGATGCAGACCATTGTTGGATATGGTGTTGTAGGTTCCTAAATAAATTTTCCTTTTTCGAACCTTCAAAATGAAAAAAACTATGAACAAATCCTATTGCGTGGTATTATATATATATATATGTTTACTAGTCGTTTAATACACAGTTTTGCAGTATACTAGTTTTACAAATACATATAAATCATTTAACTACAATTCGTTAATATCAGTATTGTGAAATAAGAAACATTATATATATATATGAAATTAAAGATAAATCAGTTTTGAAGAGGATACAATCGAATGAGTGAACATTCATTTTAATTATCATAAATTAAAACCTCATTTAGTTAATTTTTTTAATTAGTCGTTGATCTATGAATAGTCATTAGCGTAAATTATTTCAAATCTTATTCTATTCGAATTTTTATGAAAATCAACTGAACAATCTATTCTAGATGTTGCCGAAAAAAGTTACTTACACTAGTAGAAAATAAATGGTGAATTGTTTCGCCAAATTCTTTGCACAAAGTTTTGATCAATTGAATTACAGGAGAATCTTTAATTAATTATAATTGTCTAAAGCATATATCAATCTTTTACCTACCTGTTATAAATACTGGTGATGTAACAATTTTATTCAAAGTAACTGATGTTTGTCGTCGTATAGCTGCAGCTAAATCAATTTGCAATAGCATTTTTACTTCTTCAAATACCTATATAAAAAAATATATTTATAAAGTTCAATATGTTAATTAACGATAAGCGTATTTACCAAAAATGAATCTGCATAACCAGGAAATTTCTGAACAATATCAGATGTTGATTGATTTCGTACATATTCACGACGACATGAGAATGTTTCTTTCCACAATTTCAATCTCGTTTCAGCATCAATTTCAGATACATCTTGTAACTGATTTATTTTTTCTTCAATATTGTTTGCAATGTGATCATTATATGGTATTACCATCAACTAGAAAATAAAGATGAACTAAAAAAAGATTCAATTTTAAATTACCTGTTTAAATCGATCTCTTTGAGCAACTTCGTTAATTCGTCGTTTCACAGGTCTTCCTGATCCAGCTCTTGAATATTTTGAACGATAATCCTGTACGATAGAATTATCTGAATGTTCAGAACGCTTTCGTTTTAACTTAGTTTGCAACGCGTCTTTCCATACGGTCTTTGTGTAAAAAATAGATTGATTTTTTATTGGTAAATAAAAAAACTTACGATATTGTTTTTAGTCAAAGGTAATCTCAAAAATTTAACAATGGTACTACCGATTTGATCAAATTGTTTTGGTGATGGATAACTAAATCAAAAAAAAGTAAGCAAAAGCTCGATTGAAAATCTATGGTTTTTGTAGAAGCTTTTGCTAAAATCAAGAATGCTTCGTTTCACATTGCTTTTCATATTGAAGATTAAAATAAGTGCTAATAATTCGTGGTAGAACTTGTCGGATAATCTTACTGTAGTATTCAATTTAACTATTTTGAACAATTCATTTTTTATGATTTTAACACAATTAAGAATAGTGTTTTCTAAATTGCTCATAATGTATATTATCAATACATAAAATCTTTGCTTTTACAATCAGCCCAATGAGATATAAGACAAAATTCTAAGAATTTCTATTACATATACGAGTCATCTTCAGAATTAAAAAATACAATATGTACATATATATATATATCTGTAAGAGTAAGAACAAAGAATGTACTTAAGCATATGATCGATCGTATGTTTGAGTACATTTTTCGTTTATATTCTTACACTCATATATATATATATGCACGTATTATTTTTAAATTTAATCTTTAAAGATGACTCATGTATGTAGTTGAGATATAAGAACAAAAAAGAAAGTTTTAATTTTTCTGACTAAATGTTGCTGGAAGCAGTTTTTTGTTTTATCTTTATCGTGCACTTAAACTGTTTGCTTTAGACTACTACTTACAAAAGTTTGTAATTGTTGATGAGATCGTAAGAAACAGCATCAATAAGAATTTGTCGATTCGAGAAATGCGGACCAAATTTAATCATATCTCCATCTTCAATATCTTTTATTAAATTATTTGGTAATGATGGAATATTATATTGATCTGTAAAAAGCTGATGAATATTTGTATCATTATTATATCGATCAGGTGTAAAAATATTGGTAGGCGATTTTGATAAGCAATCCGTTGATGATTCACTAGTAAAAATTGATATTGGAGAATTTGTCGCTGTGGCTGTGAATGATTGAGAAGTATTTGTACTAAATGATGATGATCGAGGAATTGTAATAATAGATGATGATTGAGTAGTTGTAACACTTGTCGATGAACCATCAAATTCAGTTAAAGCAACATCTGTTCGAAATAATTTTTCTCTTTCTTCTAAAAAGAGTAATTGTTGTTTAAATTTGGGGATAATAACCGATATTCTTTCGACGTTGTTCATTAGTTTGAGAGTACTTCCATCGACATCATATGCTAAACGATAAATAGAAATAGTTACGTTATATTAAATGCTGCTTTGGACCATGTTTGCTTTATGTTTCAAATCGTTAATTTAATAAATTTTAAAGAATGCAATAGTATCTTTTTTTCTATGTTATATGAATCACAAAACGAAGGGAAACAGAATAACACATAAAAAACTTCAAAAAACTATCACAATTCGATCAATAAAATATGTAATGTTTTAAAACTAACATCGGAAAAATCATATAGTTTGACACGAAATGAATTTTGATCATTCTTCGAAGATTATTTTCGAGAAAAAATCTCAGACATATGAATTTTCTAGTTAATAGACTAAGAATGTTTAAACATATCATAGATAGGTAGAAAAAAATACGAAATATAAACTTTTGATATCCAATCTACTACTTCACAAAATCTATCAGACAAATAAAATCAGAAATCATGAACAAATATAAACGAGAAGATGATAAGAAATGAAACGAATATATAACTTTTAAAACAATATCGATTGCAAACTGTCATTAATAGAAAGTCAATGGACCGGTAAATGAAACAAAAGTTGAGTCTTTTACATGGTAAATATCCAATCCTTTGTGTAAATACTTCAGTTGACATGGATCAAGAATAGAATATCGATCAAGCGACTTGACTTCCCATGCGAACAAATTTTCATCGAAAGACTTAGTATTTAGTAAATCGACCAATAACCACCATTTTTCACTGGTTTTTAGAATGAAAATTATTTGTGCAAATATTGGTTGTTCATCATCATTTCTTAATCCTATTACATGAACAGCTGATTGATAATATTCTATATTTTCATATATTAATTTCCTGCATTGGAATAAATTCTTTTCATAATCAATGTGACCGAAATGATCAAGTAAAAGATTTTTCATTGTTTTGTTAAATAATGAATTGTGAACTGTTTTTACTCCTACGGAATAACAATTATTTCCTAATGGAGAAAAACGACTAAATTTGTAACATTGCTTAAACCGAAAATGTGTTGCAAGCATTTTAGGTGTGTTCTTGAAATTGTTGGTTCTACTTGAGAGTTTTTTGAAATAATAATGACTGGCCTCATACCTGAAGCACCAATAACGTACAGCTGGACCATAATCACGTATAACTTGACTATATTCACGCACGAAATGGCATTTAGGAATAATTTTATGCGGAAAATATTTAACCATTGAACGATGGAATACATCACACAAATCATCAAGAACTGGTAACCAGCTTTTTCTAAACGGATATGACAAAACCAAATCCAAGATATCCCGTAGTAACTTGTAAATAACAAAAGACTCTAATTTATCAATTATATCAACAAAAATTATAGGAAACAATTTAAAAAGACAATGTTTCTGTGCAGCTGTAGCCACAATACGCTCGTTTTGTAAGTGTTTTATCTGGATAGGTGGTGGTCGATTAGCAATGTCGAAATATCCATATTGGAAATTAGTCGTTCGTTCTTGAATACGAGCTTGAAAAATAAAGAAAAACCTTAGCGTGTCTATATACTCGATATCTCTTATTACTAAATAGTGGTTAATCTT